AGATGTGGTTTCTCTATAGAGGCCTTCAATTCGACCTGTCGTGGGATGGGAAGGGTTTACAGGCCTTAAGATAGGGAGCTGAGTGATTAGAATAGGTTTTTGGGGTTTCTTCTAGTCTTATAGTATAATTGCAAAGGGACCCTGAGGCAATATTATTAGTAACTATTCCGACCCCTGAACCCTAAACCCTGAACCCTAAACCCTCATCCCCAAACCCCTAACCCCAAAACCTAAACCCTACATTATGCGGCGTTGGAATTCTAGGCTTCCGGCTCTTGCGTAGGGCTCTCAGGTGTAGCGCAACAAAGCTTTGAGTGGCTACGCCTATACCCGAAACCCTAGAAAGCCTCAACCCCCAGCCCTGGTCAAACCTCCCCCCTTCAACCCTAAACCCTAAACCCTAAACCCTAGGGTTTAGGGTTTAGGGTTTAGGGTTTAGGGCTTGGGGTTTAGGGGTTAGGGTTTAGGGCTTGGGGTTTAGGATCAACTTTAAGGCCTCCACGCCAAGGTGCTCTGGCGGAACACTTCTCGATGCGGCCCTCAAAGAGGGATGTCTTCCAGGAGAATGCGCCTCAGGGTTTAGGGTTTAGGGTTTAGGGTTTAGGGTCGGAGGCTCCGCGAACCCTCTCTGACCCACCTTGGGGACCAAATGGGCCCTAAAAAGGGGTACCTTTGTAGGGATTCTAGTAGTATATCCTAAACCCTAAACCCTAAACCCTAAACCCTAAACCCTAAACCCTATAGGGTATGACCCCCAATTCTAGGGTTCACTTGAAAGCTCACTTGGTCTGCAAGGTATACACATAAACCCTCTGGGGTATTTGGCCGGTTTGTTCATGGGTACTTATAATCCCAATTATAACTGTACTTATAACCTACTTAGAGGACTTAGGGGGGCTTTCAGTACAGATAGAGCTGGGGTAAAAGGTACCCTGAACCAACAAGCAACAAGCTCTAAAGCCCATCATAACGCGCTTGAACCCTAAACCCTAAACCCTAAACCCTAAACCCTAAACCCTAAACCCTAAACCCTCAGCCCAATGGCTTTCGAGGGTGACGGGGGTTTCACATGCTGCCTGGCCTTCCCCCCGCGCCATTGCGCGCTGCATCTTTGCCTCGGGCCAGGCTTGCTTGTTGGGTGGATTTGGCAGGAATTGGGGTTTAGGGTTTAGGGTTTAGGGTTCAGGGTTCAGGGTTCAGGGTTTAGGGTTTAGGGTTTAGGGTTTAGGGTTTAGGGTGTTCCGGGCGAGAAATGGGGCTTCAAGTTGTATTTCCACACCCCATAGGCCTTGTACCACACAAAAGCAGGCCTACCCTCAAGCTCTAAACCCTAAACCCTAAACCCTAAACCCTTTTTGCATCCGGGCTTGGGGAGTCGGCCGGGAATGGTCAGGAAATCGCAGTACCCTAAACCCTAAACCCTAAACCCTAAACCCTAAACCCTAAACCCTAAACCCTAAACCGCACACCTTGGGATGGTTCCCCATCCTGTTTCTAACAGCCCTTAATAGGGATTATAATGGGGGGGGTACGAAAATAATCCCTATGAAGGACTGTTCTAAACCCTAAACCCTAAACCCTAAACCCTAAACCCCAAATCCTCATAAGCCCTCAGAGTTCAGGGGCGACCCTAGGCACCCTTCTTGGTGGGGTTGATATGGTAGGCTGTAAGCATACCCCATAGACTCCAGAGTAACCCCCACCTTAATGAGTGAGCCGAAACCCTAACTTAGTTGATGACTTCTTGAGCCCCCAATGAAAGTGTACACTTTCAGTTCTATAGGGAAGTATCGAATTCCAAAAAGTGTAAAGTGTACTCATTCAGCTACTAAGCAAAAAAAGGGGAATAAGCCTACTCTGGGCCCTATAGTAACTTTATTTCCCCATGCCCTGAAACACCCTTCATCCGATGCCCTTGAACCGACGTGAGAGCTTCTCCATGTGTGCTTCACATCCCGTTGAGCCCACACAGCTTCAGCCAAAATGGGTTTAGGGTTTACGGTTTAGGGTTTAGGGCTCAGGGTTTAGGGGCCAGGAGGGCCAAGTCACAAGGCCGCTTCACATGTAAGATCGGCATGGCAGTCACGTGATGACTCTGCAGGGTCGGGATAACGATGGTGTGTGGGCGGTTTAGTAGCTCCGGGCTTTGAAAAAGGGTGTCAACTTGTACTACTGCCCAAAGACCCTAAAACCAGGAATAAGACCCCCAAAAACCAAAAAGATAGAACAAAACCCAAACAACTTCGACCTTTAAAGGTTTCGTGTTCGAAGCCCTAAACCCCGAACCCTAAACCCTAAACCCTAAACCCTGCTGCGTCAGCTGAGTGACACTTAGACCCACCAGGACCGGGTGGCTCCAGAGGACCGCCTGAAGCGTTTAGGATTTAGGGTTTAGGGTTTGGGTTTTGGGTTTTGGGTTTAGGGTTAGGGTTTAGGGTTTAGGGTTTGGATTTTGGGTTTAGGGTTTAGGGTTTAGGGTTTAACATCCCACAAGGGCATGTGCTCGAGCTTGGAGGGTTCAGGGTGCTTGTTGAAGGGCAGAAGCTGCTCAAAGCTACCCCTCAAGCCCGGCACGCCTCCCCTAGGCCGTTTAGGCTTTAGGGTTTAGGGTTTGGGTTTGAGGGACATTCCTTCCACTGCCTTCCGCCCCCGCAAAAGGCGGCAAGAGACGCTCCCAACGCATTCTCTTGCGACATTAGCCTGAAACCCGAAACCCTAAGCCCTAAACCCTAAACCCTAAACCCCCTGCCTCCAAAGGAGCGAAGACTCCCGTCCGCAGGGCGGCTGCTCGTCTCTCCTCTTGCTTTAGGGTTTAGGGTTTAGGGTTTAGGGTTTAGGGTTTAGTCTTCTTTTGCGCCCGCCTAGCGCCTCAGTGCGGTTCGAAGGAAACTAGAGCTCAGGTTCTAGGGGACTGGGCCCTTTTTGCAAGAGGCTTTGCAGAGATTCTTGAGCAGCTGAAACCTTGAAATCCGACGCCGCCGCGCCCAAAAACCTAAACCCTAAACCCTAAATCCCGCCTCATTCACGTTCTTCAACCTGGTCTCATACTGGGACAGCTCCGTGTGCGTCAGGAACATGGATTTGCCTTTCGAATCACAAATCTTTCAGCAAATTTTGCCACGTTAAACTACTTAACCTTGACGGTATACTGGTTTCTGGTACCCAAACTCACCTTTGCGATCTTCAAGATCCGTCCCTGACAGGCTCCAGATGGAGATGTGAGAGACCAACTTCACCAATCCCCTACTGGAAGAAGCAAGTTTGCCGGTCAAACCGAAAGCACACCCAGCGTCTCCTCCTCTTCCCTGAACCACAAATAAGCCATAACAAAACTACACCCTAGTATGAAGATCCCTTTGAGATACAACTTTCTACTCGTTCCCAGTAGATTTAGGTTTAGGGGTCTGCGGAGGCCTTGGCTTTGTGGTTGAAGGGTTCTGATATAGGGTTCAGAGCACCTATTCCCTCTCCTACATAACCAACCTTGAACTTTCGTTTTTTGCCCTAGACCCTAAACCTGACCCTTTAAGCGAAATTCTAGGAAACTAGGGGACCTCATTCCCCATTGCCCTGCTAAGAGCCAGCCAGCACAAAGGCCTCGAATGACGAGCATCAGGGTCTGCCTGGGTCTTCGCGCGGTTTAAGACAGCGGCCTTAATAGTTAGGAAGCTTGTTTTGTTGTATTTCATTTATTACTATTGCTATTTATTTTATCTTTCTTTGTTTTTTTTGGGGGGGGCACAATAATGCAGGACCATCAGGGAGTACTATTAGGAACCATTCCGACCCCTATATTTCGTAGTAGAGCTTTTTTTTATGGTGCATCTGGGATTTGGGATTCAGGGCTTTTTGTAAGTATCTGGGGCCCAATATAGACAGGTGTATGAAAAATCGCCAAAGGTTACGCAAACGGACCCTACGCCCAAGTCCTGCTACCCATCCGGCTTGACTCTCCAACTCTCCAGAGCCAGCAACCACACCTTAAGCCAAGTACGGTTTAGGGTTTAGGGTTTAGGGTTTAGGGTTTAGGGTTTAGGGTTTAGGGTTTAGGGTTTAGGGTTTAGGGTTTAGGTGACCTGCGAACCCTACTAGGGGGGCTTATCGTAAAAGTGTGGAGCTTGGGATGCTCCCACTTATCCTAACAGTCCTGAATCGGGATTCTAGTAAGAGGGCACGAGAACCCCTCTTAAGGACTGCTGGCATAAGGGGGAACATTCCAATGTGCAGCTTAGGGCATCGACCTCGGCTACACCACGAGGCACATGCGAGCCCCTATTCTGCAGGGTACATGGGGGCATCCGAGTTCTTGTGGGATCCCTAAACCCTAGACCCTAATTCCCTAAAACCCTAAACCCTAAACCCTAAATCTTATAAACCCTAAACCCTAAACCCTAAACCCTAAACCCTAAACCCTAAACCCTAAACCCTAAACCCTAAACCCACCCGGAAGCCGCCAAGTTCAAAGAGCCCCAAAAGCGCGTGGAAGCCAGGGCGCAGTATGCCCAGCCAGGGGAGGTCTGGGAGGTCCTCGCGGTGTGCTCTGCTTCGAGGATTCGTATCCCTAAACCCTAAACCCTAAACCCTAAACCCTAAACCCTAAACGCTAACCTCCCAACTCCCCCGACGATGAGGTCGGGCCAGCCCCCGGAACAAAAATGAAGATAAACAACAATAGGACGTCGACTCTGACACTGGCATGAGGGGGGGAGGCTTTGGAATTTAGGGCTGAAGGGGTTTAGGGTTTAGGGTTTAGGGTTTAGGGTTCAGCATCTCAAGTCCAAGCATTCACTAGTCAAGCACTTCCTCGAGCGTTGGAAAAATACCCACCCGCCCAAAGAATCCCATAATGTTAAGAATATATTTCGCTTACATGTAAATGTATCAACTCGAGACGACAACTCTAAATAAAGCCAGCCCAGAGTGGGCCCTAAACCCGAAAAGCCAGCCCAGCAATGAGTGGGCCCTGAACCCTAAACCCAGCTTAGAGTGGGGCCTGAACCCTAAAGCCAGCCCAGAGTGGGGCCTGAACCCTCATGCTTGCTTAAAGGGCACAATCCCACGTCCGAAGTGGTTGGAAGAGTGGAGGGTTGGGTGACCTTGCCGAATCGCTTCTTCTCAAAGAAGGCAGCTCTTCGCGAAAGGGAATACCGGATCAGGGCACTGGACTTGACGGCAATGGCGCTCTTCGGGTCCTTCTCCTCTACAGCGCCAACATTCACCCCAGCAATCTCCCCAGAAGCGGTGAGAAGGGGGAAGCCAGAGGCGCCGTGTATGGAATCTCCAGACCAAAACGCCGAGCCAGGATGGCGCATGCCGCCAAATTCCGGTGTTCCGGGGTGTACCAGGGTTTAGGGTTTCGGGTTTATTTAGGGTTGAAGGTGTATAGCGTTCAGTTTGGGGGAAGGGGGTGGGGCTTCCCCGGAATCGAATCCCTAAACCCCAAACCTTAAACCCTAAACCCGAACGATGCTAGTTGCCACGTAGGTTTCGTAGTGCGCTGGGATGATTCGGGAGGGGTTTCATATTGGGGGAAGGGATTAGGAATCACGAATCAACAGGGCTAAGGGGGCCTAGGGGTTTTGGATTTAGGGGGTGTTTCACGCCTTTAGGGTTCACATGTTTCAGTTTCAGTCTTTATTTATCTAGCTGGCCTGGGTTTAGGCTTGGGGTTTAGTAGCCCTTATATTCTGGAGGCAACCATTATCAGGGAATTCTTAACCCTAAACCCTAAACCCTAGTTTGGAGAACCACCCATAAATTTGAACAACATGAGCTGTCACGCCTCTTCGAAGAAGCGAAGCCGGTAGCCTTGGGCCAGGCGTTAAGGACTTTCGGGATTTAGGGTACCCATATCACCCTAGACCCTGAACCCTAAAAACCCTAAACCCTAAACCCGAAGCCCTACACCCTGGTAGCCCTTGGGTGTGTGTGCGGGGGGAGAGGGATGGTTCAGGATCAGGCTCTTGCCGGCTGGGAAAGCTTGCTGGTTTTGCAATGCTCTTGGTGGGCTAAGCCCGTAGGGTTTAGGGTTTAGGGTTTAGAGTTTAGAGTTTAGGGCTTAGAGTAATCCCTTAATTCAGGAAGGCGTATATATCCTACATATACGTGTGCACATAGACCTCAAGAAGAAGCCCTGCAAACCTTGAGGCGCACCCCCTTGGCTCGCTGTGAAAGCTCTCAGCCACCCTAAACCCTAAACCCTAAATACACTGAACCCTAAACCCTAAACCCTAAACCCTAGACCCTAGACCCCAGACCCTAGACCCTAAACCCAAAACCCTAAACTAAACCCTAAACCCTAAACCCTGTTCTTCGCGCTCCCCTGTTTGGCCTAGGCCCTTCTCAAAGGAATCCCTCGAAATTGCCTGGAGGGCTCAGAAATCTGCAGGATCTCTCTGGGGTTCAGGGTTCAGGGTTCAGGGTTCAGGGTTTAGGGTTTAGGGTTTAGGGTTCAGGGTTTAGGGCCTCTGGTTTAGGAGAGCGTTGGCTCTACAGCGTCTTGGGCTACATGTGCAAGGCGGCCTTAGCATAGAACAGGCCCTCTCAATCTTGACGGCAACCTTGCCTTTTTTAGGGTTTAGGGTTTAGGGTTTTAGGGTTTAGGGGGGGCTGTTGGGCATAAAAGGTCTAACTAGGAGGGAAAAATGCAAGGGCTTAAGACATGGGATGCAACAGATAGGGCCTAAACCCCCTCCTGTGAACCCCTCCCTTGTGAACCCTAAGCTTAACGCCCCCGAAGCCCTAAACTCCAAACCTCGTAAACAAACGCAGGGATCCTAAACCTTCTAAGCCCCAAAACCCCGGCTTAGGGTTTAGGGTTTAGGGTTTAGGGACCCAACAAAAAAACTGAAGAATCTTAACGGCGGGCTAAGAGGCGCTTCACAAACTGGACTTTGGGCACTTTGTCCCTCTCCTGGAGTTGGTCCACCTGTCGCTTACTGTTGGGTCGTAGGTTAGGGTTTAGGGTTTAGGGTTTAGTGTTTAGGGTTCGTAGGGAATGGGGGAACCACATATCCCCTATATACCCTTTAAGGGATTATTTATGGTAACATATCCCCCAGATACCCCTTAAGGGATTATTTATGGTACCATATATCCCGTATATACCCTTTAAGGGATGATATACATCTATCCCCTATATACCACCCTTTAAGGGGGATTGTATATGCTACCTTCCTCCCCCATTGCCTACCAACCGACAGAAAGGTCGGGCGCTGGGTCTGCGTAAGCTCTTGAGGAAGACATGCTCGGAGGTTCATGGGTACTTCTAACCCCAATTGTAACGTGTAGGGTTTAGGGATGTTTAGGATTTAGGGTTCTTGGAAACTAACTGTACTTATAAAGCCCCTAAGTCCTCGCGGGCTCTACGCGATATCTGCCGAAACCAAAGACTCAACCCACGGAACCATCACCCTAAACCCCTAAACCCTTTTTTTGCCACCAAGTCTGCTCAGCTGCCTGGTAACTCAAGCGCTCAGGCCCACACAACCAGCATCACAGATCGCGTGACTTAACCCTAAACCCGAAACCCCAAACCCTAAACCCTAAACCCTGAGCCCTGAACCCTGAACCCTAAAACCCTCAACCCAAAGCTTGCTGAATGCCCGGCGGAGTTTTGTGCGCACAACGTTTACCACATGATTCCACAGAGGACCAGCAATCCCATAAACCTGATACCTTGCACTTTGAATACCCACCCCCGGTTTCAGGTTAGAGCTTTGGAGGTTTATGGGTACTTCTAACCCCAGTTATAAGTCTACTTGTAACCTATACTTGGGGGACTTTGGGGGCTTCTAAGCACAGGTATAGTTGGGGTTACAAGCACCCTGAACCTCCAAGTTAACGCCCTAAACCCTAAACCCTATACCCTAAACCCCGCATTTAGGCTTTCGTTTCGGGAACAAAGCCCGCAGGGGACGTGGAAAGGCCCCGCCTCCTTTGCGCGCTGGCGGAGGAGCTCACCAGCTGCCTTCTGGACCGCCTGCCTTGGCATCGCGGGTGTCGGAGCTCTTCGTAACGGTTTAGGGTTTCGGGTTTAGGGTTTCAGGTTTAGGGTTTGGGGGTTTAGGGTTGAGGGTTAGGGTTTAAGGTTTAGGGTTTAGGGTTTAGGGTTTGGGAGGGTTTGTTGTTTTGGTCGACTGGACTTTGGGCTCTGTGTTTTGCATTGGGGCTTCTCTGTGCAAATTGGGAAGACCACACCCTTCGCCCCATGGGCTAATTTGCCTGCACCCCGGACAATATCATCATTTAGATGGGCGTGGCTTGCTACTCTTGCTTCAGTTGATGGAGACGCTAAAGCCGAAATCTCTAAGAGTAATTCAGCATACCAAACCCATCCCCCCTGAACCAAGAAAAGGAGACAATATGTAAGGATTGTACCATACCCCTGCATTCTGTTACGGTTATACCCAAGGGGTATGTTGAATCCTAAGTAAACCCTAAACCCTTGACTCCCCATTGGGGTGATAAGTACCCTTTGAACCTCCAGGTAGTTTGAGGCATAGATTGCAGTGCTCTTAAGGGAGAGGGGTTCAGAGGGCTGTTTAACCCAAGGCTTCCCAATATCCCCCCTTAACTCCCTAAGGCTACTTAAGCTTCCCTGTAAGGTTTCCTAGGTAACCACCCAAACCCTGAACCCCCTAAACCCTAAACCCTAAACCCTAAACCCTAAACCCTAAACCCTAAACCCTAAACCCCCCCTCCTCCCTTAAGAACCCATAAATGGAGTCCTTCATGGCGCGGCCTTGGGCCCTAAACCCTAAACCCTTTGAACCCTAACCCAACTCCAAACCTTCTAAGCTCAATCCCAAGCCCTAAACCCTAAACCCTAAACCCTAAACCCTAAACCCTAAACCCTTTCACCCACAAGACGGACATCCCAGGGGCGTGTAGAAGCTGCTGAAGTCCTCCATCCCGATCAGCTCAACCGTGGCCCTATTTCCGACCTCGGCCGCTTTTGCTTGGTTCGGGTTTAGGGTGATAGGGAGTTTCGGGGGTTTAGGGGGTTTAGGGGGTTTAGGGGGCTTAGGGGGTGTAGGGGGTTTATGGCGTTTAGGGGGTTTATGGCGTTTAGGGGGCTTAGCTGGTTTAGGGGGTTTAGGGGGTTGAGGGGTTTAGCTGGTTTAGGGGGTTTAGGGCGTTTCGGGGGTTTAGGGTTCAGGGCCGACCTCGGTAGAGGATTTAATGGGTTAGGCCCAGGAGGTTGGTGGGGGTGTTTTGGGGCCCAGGAGGTTTCGAGCTTAAGTGGCTGTGGCTTTTGCGCTTTGTTGGAGAGTTTGACTGCGCAGGCCTACAGTCTTGGGGGATTCGTTTTGGCTTTTTGCTGCCGGTCGCGAGCTTATCGCTTGGTTGTGGCTCAGACTCACAAGTTACGAAATCCGAAGCAAATAATAACTTGAACCATATAAACCCAACCCCCCCCCCCCAAAAAAAAAAAAAAATAGATAAATAATAATAAAAATAACAATACATAAATCAACCTCTAAATGCGACGTCAATTGCAGCAAGTCCCGACATGCCAGGCACAAAACTCCCAACACGGCAGGGGCCTCCTGCAAACATAATGGGTTTAGGTTTTCGGGTTTAGGGTTTCGGGTTCCGGGTTCAAGGTTCAGGGTTCAGGGTTCAGGGTTTAGGTTCTCTAGGGTTTAGGTTCTCTAGGGTTTAGGGGTTTGGGGATCTAATATCTATACCCTATGAAACCTCTAAGAACCTAATAAACCCTGTGACCCCCTATATTCGTGTATGATTCTTAGATACCCTACACTACTATTTGCCTAAGAGCCACCCAAAAACACACAACAGTCTTCCTTATAATGAGGGTAATGTAGGGAGATTCTGAAACAAATAGTCGTATACACCCTATACCGTCAACCCTAAACCCTGAACCCGGAACCCTGAACCCTGAACCCTAAACCCTAAACCCTAAACCCTTAACCCTAAACCCTAAAACCTAAACCCTAAACCCTAAACCCTAAACCCTTAACCCTAAACCCTAAACCCTACGTGCACAAAAACATCTCTCTGCTCGAGCTCCCGGCAGCAGCCGCGCGCTCACGCGGGCTGATGGTCGTCATCATCGCCGACTGGGCCACCTCCTTGGAGAAGTAAGCGAAATTTAGTGTCAGGGTTTAGGGTTTAGGGTTTAGAGTTTAGGGTTTAGGGCTTAGGGATGAGGGTTTAGGGTTTAGGGAGCACAGTTTTGGGGTTTAGGGCTTTAGGAATTGAGGTGTTCGGGTGTTCGAGGGACAATGAGTCTAGCTAGGGAGCTGCTGATGGTGTAACTAGGCATGAGCCTGACACCCTAAAACCC